TAATATTGTGCAAAATTCTGTTTGGAGCTTTGGGGATCAAGTCATTAGGAGGAGGAGAATGTGGGTGCTGCTGTGTCCTGCCAACATGCTTTCGTGCACAGTTGGTTGACTGGGTGGGTTGGGTGGGTTGGGGGGGTGTTTAAGGTTGGCTGGCTGGAGCCAGCACAGGGCCCCTGGAGTACCCACCCTCAGTCAATCTGCCAGGCCAGGCAAATCACAAGCACCACAACCCAGCAGTAGCGGTTTCTGTTGTCAATAAGATCAAAAGGGTGCAGCCGGAACACTCACTCCTGTCTGGTTTGCTTGCAAATTGCCTCCCTCAAAGCCTCCTCCCTTTTTGGAAGGGCTCTGGGTAGCCATGGGAAGAGCGTGCCAGGCTCGGGGTGGTGTCACTTCAGGATGCCCTGAGAGAGCCCTGCTGCTGCTTCTTCAGAAAGCTTCCCTGGTGACTGGAGAGAAACGGGCCATCCCATCCCTTTCCTTGGCTGCTGGCTTTCTGCATGCACGGCTTCTGGAAGGCAGGGAGCTGGCAGTCAGACTGCGAGCTCCCACCCACTGCTTCCTGCTTCAGCAAAGGGGTAGAGTAAGACTCGCTTCCTGCCAGCCAAACCCTGTTCATTGCTCTTCCTTTGCAGCTGGCGGGCTGAATCGAAACCACCAGGTTAAGCAATCAGGAGGCCGTTAAATGCTTGTAAAAAGTCTCAGTACATCTCTTTGAGCTCCGTTTTTTCCCTTCCCAAACCACCTGAGACCATTCACAAGAAGACACCAAGAGTCACAATGAAGACCCAGTCGGGGGGTGGGTGGCAGGGAGAGCCTTGTGTGTACGTGTGTGTGTGTGTGTGTGTGTGTGTGTGTGTGGGTTTGGGTCCCTGCAGCCCTCCCTTGGGTGGCTGTCTTCAGCAGTCCATCCCACTTTCCTTCCTGAAGGGCTTGCAGGACCCCAGACTCACTTTACAGCCTGCCCCTCTGTTCGTGGAGGTGCCTGGCATAGCACAGCTTCCAAGCCTGTGGGGGACAGGATTGCTGCCTCTGAGAGAAAATGGCTCCCTCTCTTAATAGCTTGTTTTATAGAACATGTTTATAGTTCAGCTGGCAAAGCTTTGGAAACCACTATATCAATTCTAAGTGTGAAAACAATTAAATCACAAATTCTGCAATAAGAATGTGAATCAGCCAAAACAGAATTTAAGATAGTAAAATATTAACATTGTTTGTTTGCCTTTGTTAATTAAGGCATCTCTCCACCATTTCTTATTCAAAGAAATCCCCAGGTGGTTTACCATACTGCAATGTTAAAAGCCACAAAATACACTTCTCCCTTCAACGGTGCTGGGATTAGGTGCTCCAGCCTCTGCAATAAGAATGTGAATCAGCCAAAACAGAATTTAAGATAGTAAAATATTAACATTGTTTGTTTGCCTTTGTTAATTAAGGCATCTCTCCACCATTTCTTATTCAAAGAAATCCCCAGGTGGTTTACCATACTGCAATGTTAAAAGCCACAAAATACACTTCTCCCTTCAACGGTGCTGGGATTAGGTGCTCCAGACTCCCATGTAGTTCAAAACCAAAAGCAAAAATGGTTGATTGACACAGAGAGAAAGAGAACCACTGTGACCTCCCCTGACCCACATCAGCCTCCTGGCATGCCCCAGCACCCTCCTTGGCTGCCACATGGAGCTGCCATGCCAGGAAAGGGGACCGCCACCGTTGGACCAGAGGCCACTGCACCACCACCAACAACAGAGACCTTGGTAAGTCCAAAACCCATCTTTCTCAGGCCTCTTCCTGAAGACAAATAGCAGCACAGGATGGATGGATGGATGGATGGATGGATGGATGGATGGATGGATGGATGGATGGATGGACGGACGGACGGACGGACGGACGGACGGATGGATGGTTGGGTGACGGGTGGGCAGGTGCGTGGATTGAAATTTTAATTTATTTAATGGGAGAAAATCTGTGTACTGTATAACCAAAACCATGCTGCCCAATCCCTGTGCAATTCAAGGGAGAGGTGTAGTGTAAAATCAGGTACTAAAGGAATATCCCAGATCCATGAAATATCATGGCTGCTTCTTGGTCTGTTCAGAGCCCCCCCTCCCCCCCACTTGTGCAGGTGCGTGGATTGAAATTTTAATTTATTTAATGGGAGAAAATCTGTGTACTGTATAACCAAAACCATGCTGCCCAATCCCTGTGCAATTCAAGGGAGAGGTGTAGTGTAAAATCAGGTACTAAAGGAATATCCCAGATCCATGAAATATCATGGCTGCTTCTTGGTCTGTTCAGAGCCCCCCCTCCCCCCCACTTGTCTGGCTGCTTTGAAATTCTTGAAAGCCTTCAAGCAAGCTGCCCCCTGCCTCCCAGTGCTCTGTGCTTCGCCCTTGGCTTTGGTCGTTTGAGGAAAGGCACAGGCAGCCTAGTGGTGGTGGAAGCACTTACCTTTCTAAAACAGCAGGGAAAACTTTACGTACAAGTTGCCTTGTGAAACTCTTCGTGGGAAACTTTGCAACTGGTAACTTCCCCTTAGAGAAGGGGCTGCGCAAGTGAGGAAGAGGGAATATCACCGCCTTGCATGTTCCCCAGAGTGACTCAAGCCTGGGGAGTTGGGGAGGGTGGAAGCTTGCCTGCATGTAGAACACAGAACCACAAGAGAAAGCAGCCATGGGACTCAGACCAGCTGGAATCTTCTGGGGCTCCTCCTTGGATACCCTCTTCAGAGGCTGCCCCTTTTCAGTGAGATCCCCTCCCGGCAGCTGTTTTGACGGGCACAACAGGACATTTGACAAAAGCTATGGATCAGCATTTTAGAGAAGGCCTAGCAAGGCCATGGTTTTGCACGGCAGGGTGGGCTCCCAGCCATTTGCTGTGAGGGTGCTGGGAGCTCCTCGGCCAGGCCTGCAGGGCGCTCCTTGCTCCATTTGGGGATCATCTGGGAAAAGGGGATCGTAGAAAAGCCGCCAGGGTGGAGCTGCTGCTGCTGGGAAGACCCCAAGGGTCAGTGGGGTTAGCCTTTCCTTAGCCTTGAATGACCCACAGTGGAAAGTGTGAGAACCTCTGGTTGCGAGAATCAACCACTGTGGGAATCTTGTAGGAATCTCCCTTGGTCTGCACTGGCTGGGACTGCTGCAAGAAGGGCCCTCTCAGCCGCTAGGTGTTTCCCTCGGGGTGAGTCAGCAGCGGGGCAGCTAGGAAAGTTTCTCGCGGTGGCAGCTGCACGAGGCGGCCCTTTGACAGCTAGGCATGGGCATGTGCCACAGAGGTGCCATTCCCACATGTATGGGCCTGGGTGTCTGGCATTTGCTTTCCTGAGGATCCCCCTGGGCAGCCTGGAGGTAGTAAAAGAAGGCCAGGCAGGAGCTAATTTCACACGACATATCCTCCTTTCCGTAGACGGGACCCTGGTGTCTGGTTCACGGGCTAGAAAGGAGGAACAGGTTCCTGCTCAATGTAAAATGCCAGTGCTGACCCCTGGAGACCCCATCCCCGCAAGAGGTTCCCGCCGAAGGAACTCCCACTCATGGCCTTCCGAGGAGAAGAATGGTTCCAAGTTCTGGGGAAGGGGGCACAGGAAGCCTCAGCCGTGGGCAGGAGATGGAGGGGAAGGCGCCTTCTCTTCTTCTCTCCACCCGCCCTCCCGCCATCTCTCCAGAGCCGCCTTCTCCTCTTTCCGGCCACTTGAGCACGAGCTAGCAGGCATACTTACCGTGCAAACAAGATCCTTCCTGGCACCGCCTGGCAAGGGTGTAGCCCAAGACGCCCAGGATCAAGAGGGAAAGACTGGTGCCCAGGAACAGGGCGAGGATGCCAAGTGGCTCCCATCCTGGAGAGGAGAACAAGGCGGCCACTGGTTGGAGGCCATCCAGAGCCACAGGAGAGGCATGTTATCTTGCTGGGCTCTTGCTCTGAGAGGGCAGAGCCTCTAATCTGCTGAGGGCAGAGTCTCCCAAGAACTGTTCCTTTCTTTCCCTTTGCTTGTCTTACTTGCTTGCTGTGGATGTTTTTGATTTCACCATTTATTTATATCCCTGTGACCCTGCGAACGAGGGGCCTCCGAAATGTTCTGCTGTTAACAGGCCAGCTCAGGTCTAGCAAAGTCAAGGTGTTGCTCCCCCCCACCCCGAACATGCAAATGTAACAGGTCAAACGTTGTGCTTATATTCTGCTTTTAAACCTTTTATCCCTCTCACTGCCCTATAATCCTTGCAGGAAGGGTGGCAGAGAGACCATAGAAGAGGTGAATTTACTCTCCACCCGGACGCCCACCCAAAGCCACATCTGCGGAGGCCCTGGAAGGGACTCCTTGCCCCGCTGGAGCGGCATCCAGCATCCGGGAAGGGAGGACCGCCGCTCGCTCGCCCCGACTCGCCGTCGAAGTGGCGGGACGGGTTCGCGGAACGATGGCGCCCCCTGCTGTCCATGCGCAGAGGTGGCCGACCGGGGTGGCCGACTTCTGTTGCGCGGCACCAGCGCCAGCGCGCCTGCCGGTTTGAAGGTGTGCGCAAGCGAGGCCAGTGTGTCTGACGGCTGCCTTTGCTTCCTTCCGCGCGAGCCTTCCCGCCGCGACCTGAATC